ACATAATGTAAGGACATCAATATGTATCAGAAAATATAATAAAAATTGAGGATGATTTTAGAGCCATTTTTCAGAAAAATCATGGGCTACTTTTTAAATATTTTAAAAGGGCTTATGCATGTACATGTAGCTCCAAAATTTTGTGTCAGGCAATATCAGAAAACAGCATCATTGGCCAAGCTATAAGCCAAAAATTGCCCTGAAAACAACCTGAATTTTTTATCATTTCCATGCTACATTGAGATGCCCCTTTTATTAGGTGATACAGACTGAGGACATTAAAGGATCATCAACTAAGAGTAATAGATCGCAACAGAAAAGACGAAGCCATTTGAAATTTATTCCTCCTCGATCAGCTAAAAAGCCTAAGACAACAGATACAAGCACTTATGCTTCTGTTGCATCTACAAGTACTGGTGATCATTCTAAAGAAACTTTGATAGAACTAAGCAAAGAAAAGAAACAGTTGATGGAAAAGCTCCAGGAGAAAGAAAATAAATTGCAGAAGCTTCGTTTGGTCAAGTTATATAGGACAAAGGTCAGTATTTTGTCTAATACATACTATTGAAGCTGGGCTGTAGAATATTATGTATTTTTAAAATGATTAGACCATGAAAATTCATATTTATGCACATTTACATGTACATGTAGTATTTAAATTTAGTTTATCCAGTAATGTATCACTCATTTTCATATTGTAGAATGATTTGACTCAGTTGGAGGGGTTGATTTCAAAATGGCGGTCAGTCAGTCAAGAAGCTGCACAAGCTTTACTTGAACACTCTCCTACTAGCAGACCAGCCCCATCAATGACCGAACTATTAGGCTATCTATCGATTAGCCCAGATATAATACATTATGATACTGAAGATGAATCATTCTATTCATGCTAAAATAGACAAAATTAATGACCCAAATCTCACATATTGACTGTTCTATGTTCAAATATGGACATACACTGTACATGTACTCAAGGGCGTAGCTAGCATAAGGCTAGGGTAGGCTATAGCCTACCCTGAAGTTCAGAAGTCAGAATTGAAGTTTAGTAGTTTACCTATATTGAGTTTCTGCCTTAGTCACTTATGATCAAAGATTATAGAAGTTTAGGGTAGCTGTCTCAACTGGCAGTTACTCACTCAGTCACTTTTGACACAGGCAAACAGAGACAGGAGAAAGAAAAGAAAAACAGCCATTTTAGCACAATTATTATAATTTATTAATGTGGAGTCTTTAGATAATTAACTTAATTAATTAGCTAGCTTAATAAAATTATAAAAAGTTAACTTTAAGTGAAGCCATCACAATGTCAGCTGCAAAGAAACAAAGCTTTGTGATTTTTTATGCAAAATTTAGTTGAGTATATTAGTAGTCAACCCTAGCCATATAGACATTTGTACTGAAGATGAGCATGAGGAGATAGAAGATGATGATCTTGTAAATGATGATTTTGTTGATTGTGCTGCTACCTTGAGTCTTGCCTGAGTCCTCATCTGAGTCTGAGTGTGAAGCAGTTGCGAGAACCATAGATATTAGAGTAAATG